TGTGTGTGTGTGTGTGTGTGTGTGTGTGTGTGTGTGTGTGTGTGTGTCACAGCAGAGATAAGGACTCTGCAGCTCGTCATTTCTGCAGTATAAATACTGCATAAATACATTTAAAAATGACAACCTCCACGGTGCACATTGGTTAATGCTAATGTCAGCGATAAATGTCATTTTTCAAGAAAAAAAGGGTTAACTTTAACATTGTGTAAATTGGTAAAAAAAATCGTAGAAAGATTTCCAAAAAAACATTTTGTAGGTAAAATGTTACAGTTTGTGGTATTTGTATTGAATTTTGTGAAAAAAAATTTTTTATCAAACTGCAGAGTGTTAATAATGTGTAATTTTAAGAAATAAATCAACATTTTTAATTTTAGCACCAAACAAGACAGAGAAATTTTTTATAGTCACCGATACCACGTTAAAGCTGACATTTTGAGCTTTAAAATGCTTTTTTTTTTGTTTGTTCTACGATAATTTTTCATCGAGTTACGTCATTTTTTTTAAAAAATACAGGGTTTGCTTCAAAGTCGTGTAAATCGGTCAAAAAAAATCGTAGGAAGATTTTCAAAAAAGCATTTTGTAGGTGAAATGTTACAGTTTGTGGTGTTTGTATTGAATTTTGTGAAAAAAATTTTTTTATCAAACTGCAGAGTGTTAAAAATGTGTAATTTTAAGAAATAAATCAACATTTTTAATTTTAGCACCAAACAAGGAAGACAGAAACATTTTTTTTAGTCACCGATACCACGTTAAAGCTGACATTTTGAGCTTTAAAATGCTTTTTTTTTTGTTTGTTCTACGATGATTTTTCATCGAGTTACGTCATTTTTTCTAAAAAATACAGATTTTGCTTCAGAGTCGTGTAAATCGGTCAAAAAAAATCGTAGGAAAATTTAAAAAAAAGCATTTTGTAGGTAAAATTATGTAGTTTATGAAACGTTAATTGAATTTTTTGAAAAAAAATTTTTTAATTGAGTTTCAAGTAGTTAAACATAAGTTAATTTTAAGGAACAAAACAATGTGTTCTTTTTTAAGGCGTACAACAAAGAAAATAAAAAAATTTTAAAAATCCCCCAAAAGTGCGTTAAAGTTGAAACTTCAAGCTTTAAAATGCTTTTTTAAATTTTTTTTTACGATAATTTTTCGCCGACTTACAGCAGTTTGAAAATAGCCTAATTTTTAGGGTTTATGAAGTGTTCCCTATTTTTTTTGTACGAGTGTATATAAACACTTAAAGTAAGGCTGTTATTTTTGACAACTTTGAAGCTTCGAATAAGCTTCGAAAGAATTCAAAACTTCGAAGTTAACTTCAAACTTTCGAAGCTTCGAATATCTAATCCTTCCAAATTACCAGTCCTAATTCGGGTACCCGTACGATAAAATTTGCTTCAAAGGATTCGATATTCAAAGCTTCGAATTTTTCGAAGTTTCGAAGTTGTCAAAAATAAAGCCCTAGTCCTTATATGATTATAATCATGTTTAATTATAGATTTGGTGTTTTTATGAGTAAAGTCACAAATTTTACATCTCACAGATACTGCAGATATGTCAGATATTTAGCTACTTAACCTTCT